TGTTATGGAAGAGGAACAAATTTTACCTGGCAAGACTGAGTTTGATTTGAAAGTAGTTTTTACAAAGACAGTCTACAAGAATGACATGGAAACAGATGTTCCACTGGACATACAAAAGAAACTAGCTGATATGTTAATACTTAAAAGAAATATACAAATAATAAACCAAGAGACTGATCTGAATAATTTTGTTATATTGGATTTGCAGAAAAGGCTTGTTAAAGCTTTGAAGATTTTTGTAAGAAAGGACAAAGAAAATAATGAAAAAAATTCAAGTTCCAAATTCTATATTATTTAAAGGGACTAAAAATCAAGATGGTTAGAAGTAAAAGGAAAGAATATAAAGCTGGTTTCTTTGATCAAGGTTAACATAAATATGTTATCTCGGATAACACTCAATGAACTTTGGCTGATCTCAGGATTGAAATAAAGAGACTTGAATAATTTCTTTATAGATAGGAGCTTCCTTTGCCCATCTTTTAATGTCATAATATTGTACTTCCATTGTTTATTTTTATTGTTTTATTCCTTTGTTATTGTTATGTTTGTATTTTTTGTCTTTTTTTTTCAATTTTATTGCTGTAAATTTTATTGCCCAGACAAACAAATAAATAAATATGAGGAAAAGAAATTATTACATTTTAAGAGTAGGTGATAAGTTACTAAAATTGTTTATACTTGTTCTGATGAAGGGGGAAGTTATTTCGCTCCAGATATTTCTTTTCTTTACTATATTCTTTTTCCCCCCTGTTTCTTTCTTTTTTAATTTTTTTCTGCACCTTTTTTCCTTTATTTTTTTTAGTTTGTATTAGCTTTTACTGTTGTTATTGTAATAATATTAATAAAAAACGTATCTGCCAGTGTAATCTTAGTTGTTTACAGCAATAAAAGACAATTAAAACATTAACCCTGAAATCAAGTCCATGATTCTATAATACAAAAACATAGCGCCCATTCATGATCCCCCAAATGCTCTCCAAAATAGCTCAGTTCTTCCTAATTTCTGGAGGACCATTAGGTTATGTGCTCACTTGATCTCAAGACGGCAACACAGGGACTGCCTCAAAGAAATTGTCTGCAAGAGTCTGCCCTCTTGACCTTTTAGTAATAGGTGATTATAAATAGGGTTTTGGGGCAGGGGACACACACCAGAGAGGTCAATTCTGTATAGAGAAGTTTGCCTCAGAAAGATAATAAAGAAAATTCCTTCGTCCAATGCTTATTGGGATCTATTTCATAGTTAATAAGAACAAAAATCCTTGGCTTTAATTAAAATGACAAATTTTAAACAAAAATAAAACAAAGATTTTGGTTAAAATATTTGAATAGACCTTCCAGTTTGGAAATGTTACTCAATGAGTCTAGGATTGTGTTCAAATCCCTACACTTGTGTATAAAAAATAACCTATTCACTGGCTCTACCAAACACCACTTTGTGTTGTTAGCAAATAACGGTCAATGATTTATGTTGTTATTTCCTAACTGGTGTGGTTAATTTAATTTTTTTTATTAATTTTTATTTTATTATTAAATTTATATGCTGCCCATCTCGAGTGACTCTGGGTGGCTTACAATAATATAAAGACATAGATATAAAAAGAATAAAAGCATCAAAATTAAAATTAGCAACAATTAAATAAAAGGTTGAAACCAAGAGCACGGATGGTATGGGGGTGGTATTTTGTCTCTCATTCAATCAACCCCCAACAGAATAGCGCACCCCCATCAGGGCCCCCCAAAACAACCAGCAGAGCCAGGTTTTAAGCCAGAAGGGTGGAAGTGGATCTCACCTCAGGAGACAAGATATTCCAGAGGGCAGGGGCATTGCTCTTAGTATGTTATTTCAACTTACCAGAGAAAGAGATTTGGTTTTCACTAGGGTTGTTTGAGGCTATTTTTCTAAGGCAAAATGCAGCATGCTTTCTAACTTTCAACTCACATGCTAAATTCTACACTAATCAGCAATGAGTGTTCCTACCAGATATGAAATGGCGACACATAAACCAAGATGAGGGTGTTTAAATCAGCCCTTTTTACAGTAATTAAAAATCTTGAAGGAAAATTATAAATTTGTTTTATTACATGATATAAAACCCAAATCATAAGATACAAACTCACGCTGTTTGACTTAAAATAGCATAATCGGGAAAGGAAGTTTTGTGTAGTAATTAAGGAGACTGAATTCTGTTCCCACCAGAGGCACAGAACCAGCTAGGTGACCTTGGGCCAGTCACTCTCTCTCAGCTCTAGGAAGAAGGCAATGGCAAACCACTTCCAAAAATGCACTGCAGTCCAGGTAGTCAGACAGACCCAAAGGCACGTAAAAACCATTAGGGAAAAATAAAACATTTCTGTGTATTTTATATGATTATATTCTGGATAATGCACAATAAAACGAATGTTGAATAAATATTCAATAAATATTGAATATTAAATAAAGACAGAATAAGGACTTTCAAAACAGGCAGAAAAATTTATTGGTATCTAGTTTACATTTCTAATGAGTCTATGCAAAATTTTCAGAGTTTACTTCACAATAGAAGGAAGCTATGGTGTATCCCTTCCTCAGGAGACATTATACCAGAGACCCCCAACATTTTGGGCATCAGGGACTAGTTCCATGGAGAGAGGTTTTTCCATGGACCAAAGGGTGTGTGGTTTCATGTGCTGCCTTCTTCTTCTTCTTCTTCTTGTGCCATATCGTTATTGGACGTTGGCGATCATGTTGGTGATCCTGTTTTTATCAGCAGCCGCACAAAAAAGTGCTGCTGAGTTTTGTCCAAACCAATCCCTTAGATTTTGAAGCCATGATGTTCTTCTTCTGCCTGGACCTCGTTTGCCTTCAATCTTTCCCTGGAGGATTAAATGGAGTATGCCGTATTTTTCTGGGTGTTGCATCACATGTCTGAAATATTCTAACTTTCATTTTTTAATTGTTTTGATGATTTCCCTTGGCTTTCCCAGGCAGCTTATCACCTCCTCATTTCTGATCTTGTCAACCCAGCTTATATGTAACAGCTGCCTATAAATCCACATTTCAAATGCTTCTAGTCTCTTCAGGTGGCCTTTTGTCAGAGACCAACTCTCTACTCCATAGAGCAGGATAGAAAAAATATAGCATCTGACAAGCCTGATTTTCAGTCTTAGGCTTACTGTATGTCGTGACTGCAGAAGACCTTTTTCATTTTGAAGAATGCTCTTCGAGCTTTCTCTATCCTTGTCTTTATTTCAGTGGTCATGTCCCAGCTTTCATGTAAATTAGAATGTGCTGCCTGCATCTAGGAAATGGGGCTTTGCTTGTTTGCGCGGACCAGTTTCTGGCATGCTGTGGACCAGTGCCGATCCACAGACCAGGCATTATATGACCAAAAGGTCCCAGATGATTATCATCCAATTCCCAACCATCACTTGGTGAAGAGGGTGGTTGGCCTTCACTTCCAGAAGAAGCAGATTATTTAGTTTGTAGCAAAGCCCAGATGGAACTGGTACACCCACCTCTCTTTTGCTTCTTGATTTCTTAGCAGCTTTCAATGCTGTCTACCACAATATCCTTTTGGACCAGCTTCAGGTTTGAGTGGAATGCATTGTTTTATGTTTTCTCTTCTTTTCTCTTTGGCCAATTTAAAGTTGATGTTGACAGGTGGGAAGAGATCACACCCATTGCCTCTCACTTGTGGGTTACTGTAGAATTCAATACTTTCTCCCCTTTTGTTTAACATGTACATGAAACTGCTCGATGAAATCATCAAACAGTGTGGTGTATTGATGTTACCCAATTATACGTTGCAAGCCCAAGTTGAACAAGTGACACTGTTGAAGTCTTGACCCAGTGCCTGGAGGCAATACAGACCTGGATGGGAGAAATAGACTCAGACTCAATCTTGAGAAGAGTCAGGGATTTAGTTTGTTTCACCAGCATGGTTCCAAAACTTTCCAATTTGGACATTCACCTTCTGCTTGTAAAGCAAGTGGTAGCTGTCTTTTCACAGGTACATGTAATGCTCCAGCTATGCTCTTTCCTGAACTGGGAACCACCTCAAATGATCACACCTACCTGGTCACCTCATGATTGGATTATTGCAATATACGCTACATGGGACTGCCCTTGAAGATTAACTGGAAACTACAGCGGATTGAGAATGCAGTAGCATGGACAGTGACAGGGCACCATGTTATGTGAGCATGATTATGCTGATTGCCAGATGATTTCTAGGTGCAATTCAAGGTGCTTGTTATCACTTTTAAAGCCCTTCATGGCATGGGCCCTGACTGTCAGGGGCACCACTTATCTCCTGGTGCCTCTACTAGTCCAGCATAGTAGTTGCACTCCAGGTTCTGTCAATTAAAGAATGTCATCTTATGGAATCCAGATGCCTACTCTACTATAATTCCTGCTCTCTGCAATGATTCCCCCTCACCACCATCAAAGATCTGTGTCATTCTTATGTTGTTCAGGAAATTATTGAAGGTTGTTTTCCCAGGCCTTGGAGACAAGATGACTATGGATCCCATACATCTTTGTTTTATTTTGTTATGGTCTGCTTTATTTCTTTTTGTATTTTCCTTTTCTGGTCTGTTGTATTTTTATGTTTTGGGAGGAGTTAACTGTAAGCAGTCCAGAGTTGTTTAGGAATTGGGCAATATTTTGTGTGTGTGTGTGTGTGTGTGTGAGAGAGAGAGAGAGAGAGAGAGAGAGAGAGAGAGAGAGAGAGAGAGAGAGAGAGAGAGAGAGAGATGTAATGTTATTCTTGGGGATATTCACCTAGTCCTGAGGACAAATCTCTTTAAGAAGAAGAATAAACTATTTTTATGAGATTTGCATTTCAGCAAGTTAAAAATAAGCCAATTAACAAATCGAGGCCAACATGCATTTTTGTACTATTTATTCCTATGTTTATTTAGTACAGATTTCCACTGAATATATTGTCACCTTTACCTGGCATCGCAAGCCAAAGTAATTCAAATGTTTAAATGGATAAATAATGTTCAAAGGGACTTACCTATCCAGCATTCAAGACGAGCACATGGAGTCGTCTTTACTACATCAGGAGGATCCACACCAACATTCAGGCACAGTACTAAGGCAACACTAACAGTCTTCATCTAGAAAATTAAATAATACATTTTGGTAAGTAATATGTATTAAGATTGATTCTATACCACAGCTGTTTATATTTATAAACACTAACAAGAAATAAAGGAACTTTTGTTTGAATCTGAAAAATTCAATTGAACTACAATATTAGCAAATTCTGTTATTTATTTAGGAGATTAATATGGCCTCTTAATTCATTCATGGTGACTCCAGGCAGCTGGCAAAGTTAAGACCCCAAATACAAAAGCCAATACACTCCCACCACCCTACAACAACATTCAGAAAACACTTGATGAGCTTGTAATCAGCCTGTGATCCCAAAGCATGCTGACAAAACCATGTCCTCAGGGCCTTTCAAAAGAGTATAAAGGGGGGGGGGTTATCTGACTTGCGACTCCAGCAAAACCCCTAAATTATGCACTAGGGCAGTGTAGCCCCATCCAGGACCAAAGGTGGCAATTCTCCATGAACCAAAGAATGCTAAACCCATGTTAAGCCCATTGCTCCCCATCCATCCTTTAGCAACCTCCAGGCATTGCAAGGAGGAGGCCACAGTATTATTGAACTCACCTATGGGCTGCAATATAGAGCTGTGTATCATCAGCATACTGATATCTCATCCCATGATAATGGATGATCTCACCAGGGGCTTCATGTAGACGTTGAACAGAAGCAAATAAAGTACTGAACCCCATGGAAGCCCAGACAGCAGGGGTGAAAGGCCAGACCTCTTGCTCCATATCATTGCCAGCTGGGAGCTCCTAAATGATGTCCTTTTTGTCCTTAGTTTCCTTCCTCCCCAAGAGAACAAATTATATTATTTCTACCATCTACTATTTTTGAATTAAAATACATCTCCATGATCGTCTACACTTAAATATGAAATACAATGAAAGACATGAGTAACCACAGTAATAGTCTAGAAACTGAAGATCATGAATGAAGTGGTCTAACAAGGACCGCCAGTTTTAAAGGACCTTTTTAATGAGTTTTATTGGCCTATCCTTGGCCTTTACCTGCAATTGCATGTAAGATTTTAGTTCTGTCTGAATTGTATATTATTACTGCAGATATTTACTTAATTCATTCATTTGTGCTGTTCAGGATTTTATAATGTAAACAGCCCCCTGAAAGCGTTAACCATTAAAGGTAGCTGAATCCTAATTTTAAATAAATAAATGAATTATATAAATTAGCTGCAAGTAGAAAAAACTTTATTCATCCAACCTATTCAATATATACTCATAGTGCCTGTATTTTTACCTGAATAAAATATAGAAACAGGGATTGTGATAGCAAGAAAGAATAATTTCCTGTGTCCATAGGGAAAGGCTTATGTAATGTGAAGTTGATTTGTTCTTTTAGGGCATTGAAACACTGTTCCATATTCATTAATAATTTAGCAGGTGAGTGCGCTACTAAAAATATTATCACCATTAGTGAATTTGTTGGCAAGGTTGATTTGAATCTTCTGAAACTTCAAATGTAGCATCAGATTTTCTTAAATAAATAACATTTTCTCCAAATACATTTCTATATATGAAGATGAAGCCAAGTTGACTTTTTTCAATGCTTCGGAATAAAATACAGTCAGGTCGATTTCTACTTATATGACAAAACAAATACAAAAAAGAAGCCGGCACTTGAATTTGCTGATTTCCAATTGCCTTTCATTTTCAAAGATTTGGTTCATTCTTTTTTCTCAAAATATTACACAGCTTGTATGTAATTTTCCTAAACTCTTTCTTCTATAGCCCTTTGTGCAACTCCACAGAAGATTCTGCCAAGCCTCATGGATTAGGCAAGTCCCACTGAAATGCTTTATTAAAAAATAATGATAACATATTATACAAGATTTCCATATCAATAATGCAACATAGCAAACCTTGCTTAAGTGGCTGCCCAGGAAGCAAGCAAAACAAAAAGAGCCTTAATTTCTTTTTATACTAACCCTTAACAGTAATCTCTTAAAATAAACAGCATCTACTTCATGTAGATTTTGAACTAGAGGTCTGTCTCAGGCATAAGGAAGGAGTCTTATTCCAGCTCATTATGTATTTTCAGGAATAAATTCAGGGCTGACAGAGAAATCAGAGTGCATTGCTTTGTCCACATCTCCAGACAAACAAACCTAACATCCTCTAAAGCAGTGGTTCTCAACCTTTTTAATGCCGCAACCCCAACCGGTCGTAAGTCGAGGACTAAACCGGTCGTAAGTCGAGGACTTTCCCTGCCCGGGAGCGCCGCGCATGCGTGGTTCCGCCCCCTGCTCTGGCCGAGGCGTAGCTGGCAAGCGGCAGAGATGGAGCAGGCCGACCACCAGCTGGCCCAGCCCAAGGGAGGTAAGGCACCCGCTGGAAAAGGGGGAAAAAATGGCGGACAGCCTTGCTTGGTGACCCCCATGAAATGGTCAATCGACCCCAAATGGGGTCCCGACCCACAGGTTGAGAACCACTGCTCTAAAGATTATTATTGTAAACCAAGCAGAATAACAGTGTAGTTTTTTTTATTGATTCTCAGTACAGTTCTTGCCTCAATAATTCTATACATGAATGTGCTCATAAAGGAGAATGGTATATAGAAATTTGTCTATTAGGAAAAATGTATACAAAAATGGATGTCCCCTGACAAAAGCCCTTTATTCCTTTTCCTGTCCATTCACCAAATATTTTGGTGTCAAAGGGGCATGCTATGCTTTTTCTTTAAAATGAACTGGGTCTCCTGAATGATAAGCAGTCTGCATTGCCCAATGATTTTTGGCATAATTTACGAATGAAAAAACTAAAGAAAATGTTCATTAAATATACCAACACAAACACATATGTACTGAAAGCAAAATGACATATGATGATAGGCAATCTTGCAGTTCCATCACATGGAGACACCTTTTATTGTGGAACATTCTAAAACTATTCTGTCCTTGCATGTAGATGTTACTCATTTAACGACTACAGATTATCAATCTATAAAGATCCTACTTAACTAAACTTTCCAGGTGGTAGAGTATTCACACATGGTAGAGCAACACTTAAGTTCTAGACCTCTCACGCTGGATATATCAAACACCTTAAGTAAGACTGAAGATGCAAGTGAAGGGATAGGCTCATGACATTTTTTTCCCCTTTATCAGGATAAAACAAATTGGATTATTGTTAAATGAATTTCAACAATTTCTTTAAAAGTACAGAACTTAAAGTAAAAAATAATTTTAAAATGTTCATAATTTTAACTAGTTCAAAGATATAATTATGGATAATGGTGCTTTTTAATAATCTTATAGACTGTTAATGATAATATAGAGAAATACCGTGGTACCACAGTATTCTACTGTTCCAAACCTCATCGAATTTGGAACTCAACACATTTTAATATGAAAATGTTGTCCCGGTACTTGTCATTTGTTTGGTACTCAAAGCGCAGCAACAGGAAGAGGGGGACACACACGAAGTCGGCCATGCCAGGAAGGTCACTGCAAAAGGACATAGGGAATGACCACAGAGGGCAGGCAGGAAATCGGCCATGCTGGGAACGTTACTGACATAGGAAAAAGGACAGATGGGAAGTCCTTCTCAGCTGAAACAAAGAGTCATATGATAAGTCACACTGTTTGTATTTATTTTTAGAACTTGTGCCTCCCAGAATCAATTAACGACGAGTACTGATGTACCACTGTAACAGATTACCAACCATATATTCTTACTTTTCATTCTAAAATATTATGACAACAAAGATCAATGAACAGAGGAAGGGGAGTGAGTGGAACAGACAGAATCCTCACACAAATACTTACCATTCTACCATAGTGGTGTATCAAGGGGAAGGATACCTTGTTTTCTTTGCATACAGTGCATACAGTGCCTAATAATAGTCTATCTCAAGGATTACATGGAAGCTACTTAAAACCAACATGATCTTGCCTACCTATCTTCCGATACAGACTCATCCTGGTTTGATTAAAACATTCTTGGAAACATCATCAACAATAAATGGCATTGTATAAGTATGAAATGTAATCTACTACCAAGACAAATTTTAGTCAGGTTTGCATGGTACACAGGGAAGATTCCACTGTTTCCCACAGAAAATTGTTCTAGTCAAGCTCAGCACTGTAGCTGGTGATATTAACACTTTTTTTATTAAAGCTATTAAACAAAATTGTTTATTTCCTAGAATTACAGTTATTAGCAAAGATTGGTATAATTCAGTGAAACAGTCAGGTATTCTAGCAACTTAAGGGCTGGATTACCTAAACGGAAAGCAAATTATTTTATAGAAATCCCTATCTCCATAGTCAGAGACATGGCTCCTCATTATTTTCCATAATGATCTATAAGAAACAAATTTGGTTGATACCAGCATATATCAAACGCCGTGCCCTCCATATGATCTTATTATGCAGAGCATGGGGAAAACGGTATTGCAAGAGCCTAAAAGAAATTACCATGGAGAGTCAGTCATACTGTATGATATCAGCTTGCTCTGGAGCCTCCCTACAGGCAAAACATGGAAATACATGAAAACAATTCCTTATATGCTGGAGAGGACCTGCAGTTATGTGTTCTATTTGATAGACTGTATTAAAGCTGGAGGAAATTCTCTAACAGGGTAATACTGTGCATTTTCCATATTGGTCACCAAGTACAGTATACTGTATTTTGTTTTATTACGCTTCACTTTATTTAGCTTTGCAGATACTGCATTTTTTACAAGGTCCTGCACCAGCAAAAAGATTACATCTGACTTAAATCTCAGATAATGATTAACATTTCTTTAGCAATATAGTAATTTTTAATTAAAGTATGCACATTGGTTTTGTTTAAATATACAGCTATTGCACAATTAATGAACTGTAGTCTAGTGTGAACATAATGTTTATATGCACAGGGAAGCACAAAAAAATGTGTGATTTATTTTATTGCAATATTTGATTTATTGAGATGATCTAGAATTAAACCCCCTATATCTTTGAGATATGCCTGTAGATATCTTAACTAAACCTATAAATATA